TTTTTTGATGACGTGGTTTACTTAAATAAAAAAATTTGTTCGGGTTCCCGAACCCAGAGGAAGGAACCCGATCTGGGTTCCTCGTCGCAAGGAACCCAGAGTCGAGTTCCTCGTGGGTTCCTCCCGAGGAACCCAGATCGGGTTCCTCCGGAGGAACCCAGCTCGAACCCGCTGGGTTCCTTGTGAGGAACCCGATTTGGGTTCCTCATCAGGAGGAACTGGGTTCCTCATCATGAGGAACTGGGTTCCTCATGTTCCTCATGGGTTCCTCCGGAGGAACCTGATTTGGGTTCCTCATGGGTTCCTCACAAGGAACCAGAGCTCCTGTTCTTTTTTCTTTTTTTTTTTTAATTTTTTTTTTGGGTGGGAAATTTTCACAAAAAAATATTCCATGTCAAGCCACATCATCAAGAAAAGGCATCCACGTTGGATTACTAACGGCACAGAGTGGCCACGTCAATTTTTGAGTGCCACGTAGTGCATTTTGTAATGGTACCGTGACGGTGCGTTAAAATGTTGGGTTTTTTATGGGTTTTAAAAAATTTAGGGTGTGGTGAATAGGGAGGAAAAATTTTGGAAGGTGTTGACCGCAAAAAAAAAAAATAAATGGATGGTGCAAATAGGGGGTTTGGCCATTTAATTTTAAACTCATAAATTTTATTTTTTAAGTGAATTTAAGATTCTGTCATTGCACTTTTTACACAAACCAACGGCAATGAAACCTCCTTTATGATTTCCGTTCATCGTCAACTTGCTGTTGTTCTCACGCTCTCTTATCGTCGACCACTCTAACCACACCATGATCACATCTCCCCCTAAGTTCTCATCATCTCTCTTGACAGTAGGTTCTAAATTTAAGCTCTTTTTTTTTTATTGGATTTTCCTTCTTTCAATTTGCCTTCTATTGATTTGTTATTCTTGTTATTGTCATATTTTTTGGTGAGTTTATCTTCCTAGATGTGTAATTTGAGCACCCATCTTGGAAATCCCTAGAATTTAAGGTGTTTACAACCTTTTCTTTTCAGTTTTTACCCAAGGTCTGTCTTCCTCGCTTGAGCAACTCCGGACCTCAACTGTTCTCGGCTAGCACAACGGTTGAAGGAGAACCAAGACAATCAGCGCCTCAAGTTCCACACCCCACTTGTTGAGATAAATTGAAATTGGGTACAACCATACCTGTAAGGACAGGTCCGAGGTGCCAAGCCTCGGACTGCTACAGTAACTCCTCTATGACCGAAGTGAGAAATAAACCCAAAGCCTCCCACTCAAATAGATGCATGACAGTGACAATAAGCATGCCCGCACCTGATTCCTTGTGATGAGTCGCACAGCAAGTATGGTGGACGCTTGTG